TTGGTCCCTTCCAACCCAAACCATTCTATGACGACTGGAATAAAGAAGCACGGCCCTTCCTGTCTTTCACTTGATGGCACTTCCTCTGCCTCCCTCTTACCAGCTTCTAGATAATCCCCAGCCTGAAGGGTCTAGACCCTACACTGCCTGGTTTTGTCCACCACACTATCCCTCCCCTCTTCCTCCCTTCTTCCATCTCAACAACCAGACCAGCTCTGTGGCAGCTGTTGCTGCTAAAACCTCTGGTACGGCATGGATTAGGGAGGACAAAGCCATGTTGAGTTTGCACCCCCAAATCCACATTCCTACTGCTTGGGACTCACTTCCAGGCCCATCGCGCACTTTAGGACCCACAGGGACAGACTCAGAGATGGACTCGGCTGCCGAGCGCCCCTCTGAGATATCCATAGCAGCTTCTGCATCAAGGTCATCAATGTGACTAAAGATCCAATCCACAGCACGCTCCAGACTGTTGTTCTGCAAGGAAGAGAAGAAGATTGTGAACTTGGGAATGCCCGTTCCAGGGAATCTCTTTTCACTCCAATGTCACCAGGCCTCTCACCGTGGCTCTAAGCGCTTTCATAGCCTGGTCCCGGGAGAAGCCCATGGAGACAATGGTGGCCACACTGTCTTCTGAGGGAGGGTCTGGGCAAGCGATAGTTGACCCTGGTCCACTGGATCCAGGAAGAACTAACGGGTTAGCAAAGTCTGCAGCAGGAAACAGAACACAGCTCAGAGCAGTTAGACCTCTCCAGGAGGGATACAGTCTGAGGTCCCAACTACTTCAGTGTTCCGCTGCGGCAGTGGGACAGGAGGTACAATGACCCAGATGCAATTAACTTCACCATGACCATGTGATCTCATACCTGGATCATCCATATGCGACATGACCCAGTTCATGGCAGCCTCGACCCCGCTGTTCCCTGTGTAATACACAGCTTTGCGGCAGGCATCCATGGGAAAGCCCATCTCCACCAGCTGGATAATCACTGACTCATCCAACATGGGTGCTGCAGGAAGACAGAGATTAGGGCCACCCACTCCCACCCAGCCCTGCTGCTCCGTTTTGTGCAGTGTCACATGGCCCCCCAAGCCACCATTTCCCAGCTTCGTTTCACTCAAGTTCTGTCTCTCCACTCATCCTTTGACACCTTTCTCCTTCAGGAGTGCAGTCTCACGCACAGGCACCCCAGGGAATGAAAGGATTCATGACCTCAAGAGCACTGGCTCTTCTCTGCCCCCCAAACCCTACCTCCCATTGTGGTCTGAGAAAATAAAATACCTCTACGAATTAAGTCTTGTATAAACCTCAGGTCTGCCCCCTCCAAATGCACTACACATGCCACCTCCCCATCTTCCACAGAGCAGGAACCAACAGACTCCCTTGCATAACACCCTTGCATAACAGGCATGCAAGGGAGGCAGCCAGCATTCGTTGACAGAGGGACAGGGAAAGTCTGAGCGAGTGGAAACCGCTAGCACGGGAGAGGAGACAAGGAGAGCAAGGGAATGAGTCAGGCATCAGGAAAAGAGGAGGAGAATCACTAACATGTCGGAGAGGAGAAGTGAGGGGAGCAGAAGGAGTCGTCGTCCTCGTTGCCATAGAACCCCAGGCTACCTTTGGGCTCGTCTGGTGTCACCAGCGGGGGTGCGATGTCTGGCATTTCTTCTTCTCCATCTTGCAGCCCTGTTCCCTGCAGTGCAGAGATATCCAGCTCCTCTGGCATTTCAATGGAGACATCTGCAAGACACAGCCTTACTCAGCTTCCCCACAGAAGGGGAGATCAGAAGGCAGAAGCAAAGGGCTCAGTTGGGAGATCTAGAAGGGTAAGTCCCTGGGGATGCAACATGCTGCATCTGTAGCTCCTTTTGGGGTAGTTACTTCCCTCTTTGCAGCAATGACCACAATACCCATATATGACACCCAATACCTACATGCTCTTTACTTCTCACCCTTCTTACCAAGCTTTTTGGGTACCCAGTCCAGACCAAAAGTGAATTTCTTGATCTGGATCACCAGATAATCCGGGAAAGAGGCGAACCGTGTTGTTCTGAAAGAGACAAATAATACTTTCAGATACTTTGTCCACAATAATTGAAGGCACCTAGTTGATTTAAGAAATCAGTGAGCAGGGTGGAGGCATGTCCTAAGGGGGACACACACATATCTGTGCAGCAATCCTGTGCTGAGCTTAAAGCTCTTCAAACACAGAACCATTTGTAGAGCAGATTCTCTGACAAGATGAGATGGGATGCAACATTCACAAAATCCTGGGGGATAAGGAAAAATAGTACACGTTCTATACCTTCCAATCCTGCAGATTAGAAGGTAGAGAATGCAGAAGCCTCCTCAGATTTTACTATTTAATTAAAAGTCTAACCCTTAAGGAGTGTAGAGGAAATAACATCTTTTATTAGACCGACAGATGCAGCTGCAGGAAGTGACGAGCTTTCAAACACGAGAGCACTTCTTTGGATATGAAGCTGAAGCAGCGAATTTTAAGCTAACTGAATTTGATTGCACACTAGTCAGACAATTTGAGAGAGAGGGTGTCTGGAATCTGTGAAACAGAGGGGAATGTTTGCGCAGGGAGAAACAGTAATAAAAGAGAAATATACTTATTATCAGGGGATAATTGTAAGATGCTGTAAAATTAATTTAAGCAACAGTATATATTCAACACTAATTCTTACAAAGTGTTTGAACACACTTCACTACTTAAAAACAAAACAAAATGTTCCTTTTCAACATGATCTGGGATATAAAATATAAACTGCCTGTTTATAGTAGCTGTTGCATAATAATAGAATATTTGTTAGAAAAACACTTGCAGCTCTTTGAGGACAACTCTTTCATTGCAGAATAGTCAGTAGCATCACAGCAGGAAGCTGCTTACGTTTGTCATCTTCTCACTACACCTTTGCACTGTTGCCTGTGCTGCAGACAGTGAGGCAAATTAAACCTGTTTTTTAAACCTTGCTATTAGCATTTAAGTTAGAGTTCTCTAAAATAACTCATGCATCTGTTACATTCAGTGTTTTGCTCAAAATTTAATAGCTACACATTTCCTTTAAAGAAATTTTGGAGACCATGCAAGACCAGTGTTGCTATGATGTCAGTACCGCTTTTAAAGATGAATTTCAAATTTAGAATAAAAGCTGCTAGTTTTCTGGAATATCACAGTATTTTCATAGCCCCTCAATAAGTGAAATCTGATGGTAAGGATTTTGCCAGCACTGCTGTTCTGCCCACTGTAATCCCTTGGGGGCAATCTGACCAGCACTGACAGACTGGCTCCCCCATTGCTTCAGTCTTTATGTGTTCAAGGTTTGGAGGACAACAAAGCTGTGGTAACACTTCTTCCCTGAGCAACTAAAAGAAGTCCCCAAAGACACTGCTATCGCCAGTTTGTTGTAGCCTGGCTGGTAACTCACACAACACTCACTTGAGAGCCACAGACTTGGCCTGCAAGGCTGTGCTCCAGAAGTCATCCACCTGCTCTGGAGCTCCATAGGCCTCTAGGCAGGAGCTGAAAGGCACCTTGGCTCGCACCAGCTCAGGCAGTGGCTGCTTCTCCTCCTCTGCCTGACGCTTCTTCTCCTCATATTCCAGTAGTTCATCTAGAGAATAAAGCAGAGGAGTCAAGGACCAACTCTAGGTTCATACAAAGCAACTGGTGTAAGCAACAGAGGTAGAACAGGCCTATAGATAGATGCCATCAAGGACAGAGCACAAAGTAGACAATGTCTTCCAGAGCACTGTTCTGCTACTGCAGTCCTGCTCTGCTGCTGCATCACAGCCCAGCTTGTGGTGTTGGAGGGAAAGGCTCTAGAGAATCATAGAACAGTAACAGCTGGAAGGGACCTTAAAGCTCATCCAGTTCCACAC